CTCTTCTTTCCCTAGCCTGGGGGAAAGATTTGACACAGCCCCCTGCTTGCCGGAATGTCAACAGAACATCAAATGAAACACTGATCTGTAGACCTGACTATACCGCTTTTATCGTAGGTGACCTTTAACTATGGTTACACTCAATTTCCAGACTTGAATCTTCTTAACGTAACACTTAAAACATCACAAATTTCTCACCTGCTTTGATGTGCCACTTGACGTTTTAGATGACGATGCACTACCAGTTTTCTTTTTCCGACTAGGATCCATTGTGTCTTTTTCGAAAAGGATCTCAAGTCATCCTGAAAAAGAGGAGTGCAACTCTGAAAATGCCAAGCTTTGCTCTTTAGAACGCTTGCACATTAAAAAGTGTTTACTACGCCCAAATTAATCAATCTATGATACTGCAAGGAATTTAAGGAGGAAGCCTCCCAAACTTAACGGTTACGAACAAAATAGCTCGTCCGACAGACTTTTGATTGAGAAAAAGGCTCCGCCTTCTATGAATGCACAAGAACGGCAAAAAAAAACGGTGCTCACGGCTTTGGAGGAAGGTGACAGAGACATTTAAAAGAAGGCATGCAAAAACCGCTGGAATGTGGCACTACAACTAATTTCAGGATAGGAAAGAAACGCCAAAGAGAACGAGAATTCCTCACATCCTCCTCCAGAATCTGTTTCGCCGACCTCGAACAGCTCGCCCTTTCCTAGATGTTCCCCAACAAGATGGGAACCCAGAAACAGATCACACTTCAGGAAGGCTAACAAAGCGTGTGAAACAACTCTCCACAACCCACGAGAAAACATTTAGTGGAAAATCAGCTGGCCGAGATCAAATAAGAGCCGCCAGTTCACAAGCTCCACCCCAACCGTTTAGCACCGCTACATGTAATCGTGTCGGGACACATGTCTTCGTAACCTTTAAGCAGTTCGTTCTCGCTTATCAACTCGGGATTAGAGTGGCTTGTTTATTCGAACTTTCCAACTTGTTACTGCTTCCGAATGATGGATTTCAGAAATCCGCTTCAATTGGACTTGTTTGGGCCTTGTGTTGGGAGACTTCCGTACATGTCTTTGTGATAATTCGTTCCAACCACGTGTGCGTGGACATGAAGCCGATTGGTCTTTTTGTTGTCACTTTGCTTTGACTCTTTTCGTTTAGAATGTAATGATTCATAGTCCTTTTTCTATCAGTTCGCCATCCGTTCTGATTCCAGAGTGGATCAATCTATCGTTCACACTTATGTTAACTTATGCCTCTTAAGTTTTTGGTCGTGATTGGACCCAACCTTTAAAATACTACTTGCTGTCCGGTCAGCCGACCTGTCCCTTCTCTTTATGGAAGCGAAACACTTATCTGTTACTTCTTCTGTCTTTTCAATGGCTACCTTAACATCTTTTAACTTGAAGAAAATCACGTTTCTTTTCTAGGAGAAAGAGGACACAGGATTGAAGCAAAGTTTTAGGCCTTCTGAATGTTTGTGGTGGGGCATTCGGCGGAATAATTCGTGCCGCCCATTAATCCCAATTTTTATTGGGGGAGGAGGCTGCACGGTGTGCAAGCCATTTCGCTTTTGCTTGCACACCCATCCCAGTGCTTCCGCATCTGCAAAAACTGGGTTTACTTCAGTTGCACTGCAACTACTGCAACAAATGTCCCCTCATATAGGTAGACGCAAATTGATCATTTCAGTCGCCTGAATTGGCATCTGGCTTGGCAAAATCTTGTCTTCGCATTGTTGCATCATCCCTTTGGAATGGGCGGTCGCACATCGCATTCTAGCGCTACCCTTTGTACTAAATCTTCCTAGAGATAAATCCAGAACTGCATTTCCATTATCTACTCTTTTTTGGCTGCAACCATCGATTTTCTAGAAGGCATACGTCTATCCTTCCTAGTCTTGAATTGAAGTCTCAGGAGTGCGACTTCGTACAATGACCCGAATACACAGCTTTTGATGGAAATTATCATCAAGCCTCAGTGTTTTCGTATCCTCAGAATTGAGGAATTTATTGCTTGGTGGCCTATCCATTCTTCAAATGCTCACGGTTCCGTCCAACTTACTGTTTACTTGAGATGTTTACTTCCTGTATGTGAGAAATGCTCCTCAGTTGTACACCTTGTGACCCCTATGGGTAAGGTGTTCTATGAATGGCCGTAGTAATGGAAGTATTCACGAAGATATCTGATGGTCGACGAATTCGTCGCGCTGATGCTTGCATGCCATTGCTAGGATTCTGTCAGTAAAGACTTTCATCTAATCAAGACCACAATGTCACATCATGTGCCCGGTGCGCCTGATCTTTGATACATCGGCAAATGTGGCAGTGTCCCTGATCATCGATCGTCCGCGAAGTTCAGATCTCTTTATTTCTTCTCTTACTTGCTACGATTGGGATATTTCTTTTTGATTTTCAAGCACGGTAGGTGATGCTAACTATGTAACGAATTTGCTCAGAGGTTGGGTCTTTCACACATGGTTATGGCAGAAGACCTTTTATGACCGTAAGCCGTGTGCTAGCTCTCCTCTGGGGATGAGGCCTCCGAATGCAAAGCTTTCTAGAAGCGAGGATTGTGGCTATAAAGGGTTTTTCCGGGGAGGAAGATATCCTGAGGATCAATAGTGTGGTTTCCCATAGCCTTTTTTCGAAGGTCTTTTTATCCCCGAATGAATTGCATAAGCCCATTATTTAGTCCAGACAAGAAGTATATCCTTGCAAACAGAGATGGTTTTCCTGAGTAGCGCTGATATCGAACTCGCAGGAATCCAAAGCTGCTTCCGTCAAGGGATGAGACTCTTCATTCTGCACCATTTTTACTCTTTAAATCGAAATCTAACTTAATTGTTACGGCCATGTTTGCGTTCTGTAGAGCTGGAAGATTGTGTTATAATGTTTCTCTATGATCCTGAACACGCATTACAAAAAGGGACAACCACGCCAGCACGACTCGATATCACTGATTCATACTCGTCCCTCATGCGGACACTTTTACGATGAGATTATCGTCTGCAACGTAGCGGTGCGTCAGCTTGCTTAGTAGAGGGTTCACCTGCTGTACTCACTGGCCGTCTGGCCACATGGAAGTTTTTTAGGATGTTGATGACATCCTACGCAGCGCGACGCGGTGAGCGCAGTAATGTGCCTCAGCTCGCCAAGAACATTTTGGCCTGCCGGAGATCACGTTTCTGAATTCAAAGCGCGTTTCATCAGCGAGGCGAGCAAGGTTGCACGCCCAAAACTGGCTTTCGTCGCAGTCTGTATTTGAGTTTTTTTCTTGAATGAATTCGCATACGTTCTTTACTATTATGGTATTGTATTGCAGTTGTCACCTGTTCCACTTCGAAAGGTAAGGGGATTGGTCGAGAGTGCTAAATCTGGTGCTCAATTAGGTCAGAGTTAGTAGGACTACACGGAAAAATGAAGGGGTCACGTCCGAACCGCATTATCGGGTTGGTTAGATATAGTCAATGTCACTTGATAAGCTTACTACTCATGCCATTTCTATGAGCTTATAGGTAATTTTCAAAATAGGCCATTGCTCTAGAAACGTAGCCTTGCATGGGCGTGCAGTCAAGCAGTGCGGTAAGAAGAGTCTCATACTTCTGTACTACGTATTGGCCATTATATTGTGTGATACTTTACATGAAATCCCAAAATAGCCAGATTTGACCATTCTGTTTTGATAAAGAAATCAGCAAAGTTCAGTAGGTGCAATCTCATCAGTGGTTATCTTCAAGTTCTTCTTATGCTCTTATTATTAGTTTGTGCAGTTTTTACAACCTTCGTTATCGCGTGTGCCTGTGAGGTTTTTGTGTTGCACAAAATGATGAGAATTTTATAGTGCACTTTTATTCGGCTAACTGCGCGCGTTGTAACTGGTCTTCTACAAGTTACTCGCACAGATATGGGAATGAGGTTGGAGTCTGCAGAAGTTCAGGAGGTAATCTTCGCGTGATACACGAAAATTATTTTAAAAGATAAGTCACTTTTCAGATTCTAAAACAGTTTGTTATTAGCGACGATGATTTGCACGTCATTAGCTGTAAGATAGAAGCAGAAATGAAAGCTGGTCTTGCCAGTGTAGACGGGTCTTCAATAGCCATGTTGCCCTCCTACGTACCAGCGTTGCCTGATGGATCTGGTCAGTCATTTATAAATGTGGATCGTTGATAAAAATGGCCTTACAAAAATGTCTTTCCTTCTTTAATTCTGACAGGTTTGCATTAAGCAATGCGAATTTTGAAAACTCCATTCAACTTCGGAAATAAGCTCCAGCAGATTTTTTATTTTGTCTTCAAAGAATCTCATATGCTTTTGCTCTGAAGAAAAAACCTCGAAGGTGGGGTATGAAAAAAGTTGGCGTGTCCAATGGATAACGAATCAACTTTCTTTTTTCTTTTCACTCGATTTTTTAGTTTGCCAAAGAGGACCACTTACGTAGATGTCTGGATCATTTATTGTTCAATCCTTCTCATTTTAGAGGAAGGCAAGTACGTGGCGATCGATCTTTCCGGTAAAAATTTACGTATAATGTTACTCACTCTCAATGGTACTGGACGTGAACCTGCTGCTGTTAACAACAATTATATTGTACCTAATCATGTGATGAAAGGCACTGGTGATCAAGTAAGTAAGCTGTTGAAATGCATGAACAATTGAAGAAATTCTAAAGTGGCTTTTAACCTAGCACTGTTCAATTAGTCGCCAAGAGGGTGGCAGGAGTAGTTTTTCTCATATTTTTCTTGGGAGCTTTTATGACCATCTTGGGAATTAGTGTCTTATTATAGCTGGGATGTACTCATTTTTTCCCAAATTAGCATGGACACGTAGTGATGGAAATCCATAACCCGCAATTGTTTTGTTTTATGGGTTTGTTGTTAGTTTTACTTCACTTGTTTATGAGTTTTTTCTATTATTTCTACTTTACTCACCGTACGGTTACATCAGGAAAAGTATTCATTTCTGATCTTACCTGGTGCCCAATGCTGACGAAAGAACTTTGCTTTTGGCCGCATCAAGAATTGGTCTATAAAAAATGTTTTGGTACTGTCAACTGATACACTAATTGGGACGTAATAAAGATGGGGAATTCGTATTCATGCCCTTCATTAGACTCATGACCTATACTGTGAATTTCAAAGAATTTTTAAAGTGTGACTTCTTCCGCGCTTGAGATGTATAATGTCAAAAGACAACGCTTCGAATGAAAAATAATGTGTTCTGTGAATGGGAAGTGCTCCGAGAACTCCTCGCGTGATCCTTTAACATTTCCATCACTCCAGTTCACAAAAAAAGTTTTCTGGACTATTCGTTAAGTGGAACCTTATTTTTTGATCACTTTGCAGCTATTCACATTTATTGTCAACTGTCTGCAACGTTTCCTGCAAGAGTTTGGTCTAGTCGAAGCCAACCTACCCATCGGTATGTTTAACTAACGAGTGTTTAGACATGCCAGTAGGCCTGGTTTAATCTTCTTTTCATTGTATTCTTTAAAACAAAATCTCGTACCAGGTTTTGTTTTTTCCTATCCATGTGAGCTTCTATCTATTCGTTCCGCTCGACTGCTGTGGTGGACAAAGGGATTTGATATCAAGGACTGCCTAAGGAAGGATGTTGTCCAACTGCTGGAGGAGGCTTTGGAAATGAACATGGCAAGTTCTATCAATTTTTGTACTAAATTTTCTGCAGCCACTTCCGTGTCTTGCTTCTTATGAACTTTCTTTTTTCTGATTGTTCAAAAATTATCGCGCGCGATTTCGAAAGCAAACTTGCAAGTAGGAAAGGGTAAGCCTAAACCTCTTGTGGGACATCTGAGTAGTGATAACGAAGGAGTGGATTTTCTCCATGTTACAAGTAGGAGCAGCCGCTCTTTTATGATGCAGCTGCCTGGCTCAATCATAAGCTGACTATCTGTAGTTCCGAGAATTCCTCTGGAAGTTCTGCGTTTCGTGAGCACAGCTCCAGCGCATTACTTTGCGAACTTTTTTTTTCAATATCGTTCCTGTTGCTTTGGGTTGAATTTTATCCTCTTCGTCCTCTTCGCTTGCTTGGTTTTGGACGATAATTGATTTTATAGCTATATATGTTTCCCATTTTCAGTCAACGAAAGCACAAATCAAAGCAGTTATGAATGATACAGTTGGGCAGCTTGCGGCAGCTGGTCACAAATATGGCCCTGAATGCACGATCGGTGTTGTTATAGGTTATGGGTGAGTTCTGATCTGAGTGCTGCCTTAGTTATGTGAACAGTGAAAGTATATAATAGTACAGTCTCCATTGAAGGGTGCAATTCGTCCTATTTGGAGAAAACCTCCCGCATCACAAAATTCGACGCTAAAGCTAAAGGATACAAGCACCCCAATATGGTAGTCGTTACCGAATGGGAGGAGTTTTGGCTCGGCAAAGGTGGTGTGGCACATTTCAGGCACTCAATTCATGAATGGAAAGTTCTCCATACTTCGTCTGTAAGCTGTCTTCCTTCTTTGCCCTTTCTGCTTCTGCCCATAACTGCACTAGTTGGGTTTATTCAGCATGCTCCTAATACTGAGAAGGGTGCTCATGAGAATATTATTCTACTGGATAGAGACTGCTGACAAATATTAAAAGGGGCTTTTCAAAAATAGTTCTTTGCTTCTTCTTTCCTAGTTTTCGCGCTTTTCCTATATTTGACTTTTGTTACAAGTTTCATGTTCACTTTCTTGTAAAACTCATTCACTTCAGCCGTACATAATTGTAAAGTCCCTGTTGCTTGATCATGTTAGTGCGAGCTACTTCGAACCGTCAACGTGATATCGTTGTTTACTGTGTCGTTCGCCCAGTCGATGTACCTTGAACTAGCACTTCACGTTGTGATGATAACACAGCCAAGAAAGGGGAGCAAATTGTCGGCAAATGGGACGCAGCGAACTGCACTGTTAAACAGCTATAAAATCCATCGAACAAACTGACGTCTAGTAAAATTGGAAGTTATATGTTCAATCTGGTGCGCCACACTTCTCCCAATACTAAGGCAGGTCGGCCTCACTAATGTGCTGTGGGCCACATCGTGTGACAATTGTTACGAATCGGTGTACAACAGAGACAGAGTCATGTCTTGAAGCAGCCACCTAAAACCTCTGAATGTGAAAAACAAAAAAATAAACGAGCAGATGATGCTAATTTGAGAAATCTTAGTGGAAGGGCAAGCAGTCGCGAAACGCTTTAGCAGTTTTCTTAATTATTTTGCTTTTTTGTCTGAATTTGTTCAAATACTCGAGTATGTTGCGATTCACCCGTCGTACTTTTTGTTTTCCTTCTCTTAGATAGAAGTGGGGCGCATTTCCTTAGTGCATTGGTAGTGCGAGCAGAGCAAAGTATGTGATTTGAAGTAACACCGAGAGCCGCTTCCTCTTTTGACAAAAAAGGGGGTCGTGTGTGGATAAATTTACCTTAATTAGCTGTACGGTCAATTCACCGCGCTGTTTTTTCTGCCATTTGTGTTGCGCAAGTAGAAGCTGAGGCAGGGCCAATATAAATGAAATCGTTGGCGTTTTGCTCCTTTAAGAGTAATGGGGGGGGGTGGGTGAGTGAGCGGATTCATTTTTTTAACGAGTGGCTTCCCAAGATAGACATGCGGATACCCTTGTAAAATTGATAATAGCTATTTTTCCGTTCAAATTGTATAAATATTCGACCTCATTTGAGGTGAAATTCGATTTGTACAGCTTTCTTGTGTAAAATCGTCTTCGAAATCTGAGTGAGCGCTTTTGTATCATGTGTTGTGTCTGCTCGTTGCCGTTGCCATGTGACGTGTTTCTTCTATCCCCCATCTAATATTGACGGCGACTAAGTGACAAGCTTAAAGTGAACAATAGTCGAAGATTTGCGAGAGCGTTTTCTGCAGCCATCGATTTTTACACCTCTGACGTGCAAATACGTCAGGCATTTTCGCGGTGTAACCTCACTTTTTTGGAGTTGACCACGTGGTAAAGCCTTCTCGCTGTCCTTCAATGCTTGCATGGCGAGGGGGCTTACGCTTACATGAGGTGATGTAAACATTAGCAACTATTAGCAGTAATGTTGTTAATCCACAGTATCAGGCAATATGTTATGACTGCAGATTAGATTTGTAGATAAAATGGAATCACTCTGAACGGCGATATTACCATAGGCACACCATCTGGCCCATCTGGCTACAGCTACTTCATTTTTTTTTCTGAGTACCACTGTAAATACGGTTTGTTGTGTCAGTGTAAAGCCATCTTTTAAAGTTTATGTTCGGAAACACTGTGGCTCCTGAAGTTTATTGCTAATTCTTTGTCTTCTGAAGCTTACAAACATTTAGTGCTTTTTTTTATCACACTTCCTTAAAATTTCTTTCGGCTTTTCACTGACTCTGTGAGGTGTCGCAGTGCCGACATCACCGAAGTTTTCTGGAATTCTTACTCTACTCGCATATTGCCTAACAATGGCAATCAATGTTCTTGTTCTCTGTGCATGAAAATTGCAATAAACTTGGTAACAGGGTCACCATGTCAAGCACAAAATGAGAACCGTTCACAATCGCCTCACAGTGACAATGAGACTCCTAGAAAGTGCTGCACAGTGACGGCGCGAGGCGGCTGTTGTAAAAACTGCAAGGAAGTGGAGTAAAGCGTACTCCTATCGAAAAACCTGTGACTGAGTGGATGTCAAGACGTATACGCTTGCCACTGGAATGTTATTAGTGTAATATTAGCGACTCTGGTGCAGAGTGCCGCAAGCAATACCTAAGAAAAGCCACACATGATCCTATCTTTCAAAACACGCACTTTCTTGGCGTCTTTTCTCGACTTTTCATCATTTTTCTTATTGAAGACTCTAAAACTAAGGGAAAAGGGAGCTGATCTTTCCTACTGATCTATCCCCTCCTCCCTCTATTATGATCAGTCTTCGCAACTCATCCTGAAATGTGTGCATCAAATCCTTTTCTACAGCCACCAATCAAGCCATCGTTTCAGGGTGAACCTTGAATTCCGTTCTCACACAGTTTGACAAAGAGATCGATGCAGCTTCAGTTCACCAAGGGAAGCAAATGTAAGTAGACGATTTCCTTTTGTTCCTGTTCAAGGCATTGTTGTATGAAACACCTTGATGCTTTGACACCTGCTTTTCTTTTGAGTTTTGATGGATGTCATGTTTGCAGCATCGACAAATTAACCGGTGCGCTTTACTTGGGAGACTTGGTTCGTCGAGTGCTGTCTCAGTTGG